TCAAAATGAATGACGCTCTTACTCTGGAAGCCTACACCGACGCTGACTATGCTGGCTCCCTAGTGGACAGAAGATCAACTACAGGATATTGTACTTTTCTTTGAGGGAACTTAGTGACATGGAGGAGCAAGAAGCAGAATGTAGTGGCAAGGTCATCTGCAGAATCAGAGTTCAGTATTGCTGGACTATTGCTCAAGGATTATGTGAATTACTGTGGCTGAGAATCATTTTGGATGATTTGAGAATCCAATGGGACGGTCCTATCATAATCCTATACAACATGATAGGACAAAGCATATTGAAATTGATAGACATTTCATCAAAGAAAAACTGGAGGAAGAGTTAATGTGTATGTTCTATGTTCCATCAGAAAGACAATTAGTCGATGTTCTAACAAAGGGGCTGAACAGTTCAAGTTTCCATGATCTTGTATCCAAGCTGGGAATGGAAGACATCTATTCCTCAGCTTGAGAAGGAGTGTCGAGATGTGTCTGAGATGGATATAAGGTTGGGAGAATTAATTCTAATTCCCTTAATTAAGGGAATTAGAATTAATTGGTAATCCCTTAAATTGAGATAAATAGAATTAATTTGTAATCCCTTAAATTAAGAGAATTAGTGAAATAGTTTCCTAGTTTTTCTACTTGTATTTCTACTTACTTGTAATCTCCTATATAATACCTTGTATTATCAATTCAAAGAAGAAAGTGAAATACAAAATTATTTCTCTGGTTTCTCACAAATCACACCTCAATCTAATCATAGAGCAAACATACTGCTTAATTTTGATCTCAAACAATACGAACCTCAAATCTTACGGGCCACATCCATGCTTTTACCAAGCCAAGAGAAAAATGTTCTGACACAAGCCTCAGAGACTAGCGTCGTAATTTGTAACAATCAATTAGCTAGAAAAGAAAAAATCCCCTTCAGTTTGGAACATTTATATACAACATGAATCTTAGAAACGAACTGTTTCCTTAATCTGCAATTCGACCAAAAAAAAAGTATTAAACTATCCTTCACACTCATCTCTATAAATAATTACTTCCAAAGAAATTTCAAGGTGATATCTGAACTAATAGGAAATTCAACGAAAAAGACAAAATAAATTTTTATTGATGTAGAGGGAGGGTTACAACACAACACTAAAAAAAAAAACAGCACAAAACATGAACGACACAAGAAAACACCTATAAGTTGTATTCCAAGGGCGGTGGAGGTCGGCTAGATGGGTCGGGATGGTTGGTAGGGGTGGTGGCAGCAAAGGAATGCTGATGACAGCGAGGGGAAGGTGCACAACTGCAGCGACAACAATGATGGAGGGTTGGGCATAAGGTTTTGTTGCAAAACAGCAGTGATCCGGGCCGGGATAAAGGCTGAGGAGGGGGAAAGTAATGTTGGACTGTAGCGGCAGGGCGGTTGAACATTGGGGTTACGTCTGGTAGCTGGACAACAAGAGTAAGCTGTTGGGGGAAGGTTGGCTGGTGCGGGGATAAAGAACAAAGAGGCCGGCAACTGCTGGAGAGAGGAGGAGGAGGAGTAGGATGGTAAAAAGGAAGGATACAACACCACTTTGGAGGAGGATACAACCGGAGCACCACCACCTCCTCAGATACAACCCTAGAACAAAGAAAACTCTCCGCACAAAAAATATGAAAGTAGAACACAGCAAAAACTAAACCAAAATCTCTGTAAACAACAATATCTAGACTCCTACTAGAGGAAAAAATAAAAGTAGGAAGGGCAACTCCCGCACAAGAGGAAGGGGTCTGAATACTCCAAAAAATAGCCATTAAAACTTTCCAAAAGGGGAAGAGCACATGAGAAGGGGAGGTAGTCCTGCCTTCTCCACGAATCACGATCCTTCTGTCCCGATCCTTCGTGATCGAATTCTAGACAGGTCCCCTTTGACCAACGAGGAAGTTGGCTAGTCGGTTCAGCCGACTGGCATTTAGCGCCCCACGTTAGAGGCGTTGTTAGAGCCCCACATCAGTCTCTTGGGATTGGGGGAGCTTCGACCTAATTCGTCAAAGCTCTTGGATCCTCATGTTATTGTGTTAAGTCCCCTGGTAGATCGATTATGTCCGTGTTGTCATTCCACAACACATTCTGGTAAAATAGGTAGTAATCCTCTTTTGACACATCTTAAGCGGGAACTGCATATAGAGGTGGGTTTCCATCATGCAACTCTCGAGCTCTTACATTTGAAATCTTCTCCTTCCATTGCTTGTGCCCAGCATGTGGTGGTTGAATAACAAGTATTTAAGAAGAACACAATTCTGGGATGAAATCTGTGGCATATCGTGCCACTCTCACTAGCGACTACTTAGGAGAGACACCATCTTCAGTGACATAACTTAAGTCCCATTGAAGAAGTTTCTTCCCCTTAGGTTTCTAGGCATATTTCAGAGTTGAAGTTCAACCGACCCTTCTGGAAATCTATTGGTTGCCTTACTGAGCTGCTCTAACATTTGAACTACTCATTGTAGTAGCCCAGGCATGGGACATAATGGTTCCTCTTTGGACATGTTGGACCTCCCTCCGTAGAGGCAACTCGAAAGAGGGTATATAGATCTGAAGTATCTTCCTTGCTCTTGTATGTGGGGGCCCCCTGTGTCTAATGTCAGCTCCTCAGACACGTAACTGCATTTTTCACTTAAAATAAAGTCGGTTGGAGTCTGTTCCACGAACTCGGCTGGACTAAGTATATCTTATCCTTCGCAACTGGAAGCGAGCTCTCCTTGTTTATGCCATCACCGTCTTCATTGCCTACGATGTCTTTATTCAACTATTTGATGATGTCTTACTCGGTGAAGTAGATCACTCCCCTGGTTGTGCATTCTGCTTCATCGTGTCCAAATCCGTGGCACTTGCAATACTTTTTGGCTGTTACAGACTTACGGATTTGTTTCGCTGGATAGTGGTCAGAAGGGGTCGCATGTTGCTGCGGTCTCTCTACTTCAGAAGCTAAATTCTACAACTTTCGTGGTAATAAGTAGGGAGGAACCGACGTTGTGTTTCTCGCTTCATCTTCATATCTTCTCATTCCTCGCTTCGACCTTTCGGATCACGATCGAGGGTAGCCTCCCATTGGATTTCATCTTCCGTGTCCGTAATCCACAATAGAAGTTAGCGAATCTCTAGCCGTATCTCATCTCGTGAAGGCTCGGGCATGTATCATGTTGGTGGCATGGCTAGGGTTTAGGGTTGGGAGGTGAAAGAGGGTGTAAGAGACTAATTAACGGTGTAGAAAATTTAGTTTGTTGTTGTTGGTTTTTAAAAACAACAAAGGGTTAATTAGGGTTATGTCAAATTCTTATTGGAGGTTTGGGAATCAGAAAGAAAAAGTTTTGAAGGAGGTGGCTTAGATAGGGGTGGATGCTAGGAGACCCCAGGATAGGACTAGGGTTGGGCTAGCTTGATACCCAAAACTATTAGAAAATTTAACAAAAAAATGTAAAATAAACTTTTATTGATGTAGAGGGAGGGTTATAACAAAACACAATACAACAAAAAATAACAACAATAAACAAAAACGACACAAGAAAACACCTCTAAGGTGTATTCTAAAGGAGGTGGAGGTCTGCTAGGTGGGTTGGGATGGTTGGCAGAGGTGGTGACAGCAAAAGAATGCTAGTGGCAGCAAGAGGAAGGTGCAGAATTGCAGGGACAAATGGATGGTTGGTCAGCAGGTTTTGCTATAAAACAGCGATGACCAGGGCTGGGATGAAGGGATACAACAATGCTGGAATGTAGGGAAAGGGCGGTTGAAGGCTGGGGTGACGTCCAGGGAGCTGGACAACAAGAGTAAGTCAATGGGGGGAAAGGTGGCTGGGTGCGGAGATGAAGGATAGTGAGGCGTGCGGCTGCTAGAAGGGGGAGGAGTAGGGATGGTAAAAAGGAAAGATACAACACCACGTTGGTAAAGGATACAACCAGAGAACCACCACCTCCTCGGATACAACCCTAAAACAAGGAAAACTCTCCACACAGGAAATCTGAAAGTAGAACACAGCAAAAACTAACCCTAAATCTCTGCAAAAAAATAATATATAAACTCCTATTGGATGAGAAAAGGAAAGAAGTGCGAAAGAAAACTCCCACGCAAAAAGAAGGGTGGGAATACTCTAGAAATTAGCCATTAAGACTTTCCAAAAGGAGGAGCACATGAGGGGAGGTAGTCCCATCTTCTCCACAGAACTCACGATCCTTCTGTTTCGATTCTTCGAGGTCGTTTTCCGGCCCGATCCCCCGGACCGGCGAGGAAGTTGGCCAGCCGGTTTAGTCGGCTGGAATTTAGCACCCCGCGTTAGGAGCGCAGTTGGCGACCCCATTACAGGGGAGCCTTCTAGCGCTCCGCGTCAAGAGGACTTTGAACTCACTTTTTAGCCCAAGCGGGAGGATGGTTGCTCTTGCTCTTTATCCAGAAAAGAAATCCATTGAATTAGTTTCAGCTCTCATTCACCTACACAAGAAAAATCACTGATTTAAGCATCATAGAGATTTGCGGGGGGAAATCCCGGGTTGGCTCGCCAATCTCTTATTTTGCTGAATGTGTAGAACACAGTATTCAGGTCAAGATGACTGAAAACTAGCAGCAACTAAATAATTCCAACATGAATAAATTAAAAAAACCACAATCTTTTAGCAATTGCTTCTGTGCAGAGATTGCTTCCCTTATTTTGTGAGACTGACTATATAAGTTAAGTTCAAGTCTGAAAGGTGAGTTTATCCTCATTCACAATGTTTAGTAATTTTCAAACACCTATTATTTATGTTGAAACTTTTTCAATCCAATCATAAGGATTTTGAAAACTAGTAACCACATTTGAAAATTTTAAATTGATGGATTTTATCAATTAGTAGGATAATTAAACCATAAAGCGGACCGCGTGCAGTTTAACAGTTAGTCTTAATGCCTTCATCGGCATAATTAAACAAAGGATAATATTTTGCGTAACCCAAGAATAGATAAATTTCAAGAATAAAATGCTGACCTTCTGTTACAAACCATAGTCAAGTCAACAAGATGGCGCATTGTTGGCCTACCATGAGGGCAGTTCCAGGGAGACTTGAGATCTACCAAACTCTTAAGTATCTGTAAGAAAATAAACACAAGGTAAATGAAACTAAACGAAAAAGAACATGGTGACAAACAAGCTTTTTTGTTTACAAGTTAAGTACTAATAAGAGCAAATCCCCAAGCATCCATCAAAGAGCCAAAATCTCATAAAGCTAGAAAAAATAATTCCATTCATCGTGATTTAAATTAAGAGTTCCTAAACATTACATAGCATGTCTTATTCCACATATCTTTTTTTATTATCCAATTAGTTATTAAAAGAGTTGGGTTGAAAGACCAAAAAGTCACATTGAAGAACAATAAGAGACAAATTATGAAAAATTGTGGGATCAACTTGGGGAATAAGAAAAGTCTACAACCAAAATAAAAATACCCTAAATAGTCCGAACCAATTTGATCATTTTCTCCAGTACATGAGAATTTCTGAGAACTTGCGACTCACCAACTGATGTTGAGGAAAGTGTCATTCCTCAAATGTATAAGCATCTTTCGGTTGTGTGTGCATTATAAAGAAATAAGTAGTGTACTAACAAATGATGAAGCTTAACGTATGAATATAAAAACAATTTTTGAAATGTTAAACCACACTGAAAACCAATCTCAAAGCCATTTTATAAAAGCTAAATCTATAACTCGCAAAAAATATCTCAAGTAATTACCACATGCTAATTTAACTCATAGCCTAACCATCATTGAGTTTGTGAAACAAAGAAAACGTATAACACAAATAAACTAATACAGTGGGAATACAAGAAACTTCCAAACAGGAATTCTAGACACTTAAGGAAACCGCAGACAGGTAATGCAAACCGGTTGCTATTGCCATTACATGCCGCTAATTAATCTACTTCAATGCTACTTTTAGCAAATAAAAAAAGCTCCAGAGATATAACGGAATATTCCACATTTGTTTGTCAAACAGAGTTACCAGACTATAGTTTTGAAGGTAAGAGCACAAGTCTTCAGCATGCAATATTCATGTATGTAATAAACGTAAACAAGCTCATAATGTACAACCATACAATATAAAATATTAAAAATGTGGATTTCTGCAGAATCTCTGTAGAATTCCAGACTAGTATGATATTCATATTAAACAACTAAAACTACACTTGATATTCATATTAAACACCTGAAACTACACTTTAGGTAGAGAAGAAAATGATATTTATATTCTACTAGAATTCCAAAACCAAAAGTGACAGCATTTTTTGTTTTGTTATTTTAAAACATGTCTACCTTTTTCATGTCAGGTTTTGCAAGTGGATCACCGATCATAACAGACATCCGACAAGCACGTGAAGCAAACATGGCACGGACCCTTGAAGGACAAATGGAATCAGCAGTGTCCATTTTGTAACTACTGATGATGGAGCACTCTCCTTCGCTGTCATTGAGGGTAGAAATAAGCTCCTTAAGGTCTGGGTATAAGAAGTAGAAAGCCCACTGTTATTTTCCTACATAAGTTCAAGTAGTGATCGTATCTAAACTCAATAATACAGGCAAAACCCAAATCTTGGGTACCTTCAACACCAAAAGTTATTTTCTTGCTGAATGGTACAGCTTTTAGCAGAAATCGATGTCTGGGAGCTGCATTCATGTCTTCCATCAGAAGAAACCCGTTTTTCCTTAATTGAAGTATACAAAACTATGAGGAGGCTAGCAACAGAAGTGTAAAACATACAAATCAACAGAGAAAAAACGAAAGTGTAAGCCACACAAATAAACAGAGAAAAAATGACTTGAGGCTTGTAATATGTAAGAAGATTAGAGGTAGAATGAAAATATCTAGGTTACTGTTTTTAGTTACAGTAAAGAAAACTCAAATTTTTAGAATTAAAAAAAAAACAAAGATCATTAAACTTTGAAAGCATGTATTATCCTTGTAAAAGATTTCAAAACTCAAACCTAACATTCATAAATAGCAATATCCCGAGAATAATAACATTCTGAAATAAATTAGAAATGAAAACATAAAGGACTTCAACAAAGCCTACTTAAATGTACCACTGAATTATGACCTCACGCCCACATCTAGTGTTGAACGATAAACCTGACAACCATGCAAGACGAAATTATGCTATAAAAATATTTTCGATAACTACAGCACAAAATAAAGCCTTTAGAAATCAAGAAAATATGAGTTCCCTTTTCTATTTAACTAAAGTTTTTTGTAAAAGTACACTAACTCATCATGCCCAACAAACTTTTCAAAGTAGTGTATATTCAGATGAATTTTAACTAGAAGTAACAATAATTATAAATTACATGTATCCATGCAAGAGAAAAGAATTCTTATCCCCTGCTTCTTTGAGGTGTGTGTGATTTAAATCTATGGGTTCTTGAACTCCAAGTCACAATAAAGATAGTCATCGCTCAAGGCCTACCTCTTCATGATATTCAGCATCACCATCATCATTATCATAAATATTATCCAATAGATTATTAATTTTGAATCCTCTCGACTTTTTTTCTTCCACTATTTCATATGTAACAAATAGAAATAGATTTTCTATCACCTTCTTTCTCTTATGTCCTGATCTGAAGTTATCAAGTTTAGCTCATGAAAAACTATAAAAATTAAATAAATTATATGGAGACATGCACCATAGCTCCATTATTGATTCAAAATGTCCAAAAACTCCCTAATTAACATAATAGAAACAATTTGTAACTTCAAAAAACCCTTTTGACACAACATAAAAATAAACATGAAAAATATGCAATGAAATAAAAAAATAAAAAGGTTTCGCATGATATAAATGGCTATAAAAAAAAAAATTATGAAGTTCCCATAAAACATGCTATAACCTAAAGTTCTAGTTGAACATTGATTGAGTCCGCAGAAATAAAATATCATTAGCAAAACTGTGAAACAGATTCACACAGGAATCAATGGCCCTTCAATCCCTGGCCACAAAAAGTTAAATAAAAAATCAAGTTCTCCGAGAAATGAGATGCAAATTTTTTACAGACAAAAAAAAAAAAAAAGAAAAAAACAGGAAAATAATAAATTTCAAGAATGCAAATAAAGATTGGTGTTTTACTAACTTAAAGTTCTTCAAACCAAAAATATGATGAGGCGGCACACGTCAAGCAAATAATAGCAGCAGTTCAATCGCGAAAAATCAATTTAAACAAAGGGATGACTAAGATTAACCATAACAATGTTTTATTTAGTTTAGTAAATAACTAATAAATTCCAAAAGTTGCCTTTTAATTTATTGCTAAAATTAGTGTACGACGAGAGTTTGTGATTTTCGAACAAATTTTAAAAAGGCGGTTTCGTTTGTGATTTTCGAACAAATTTTAAAAAGGCGGTTTAGAATTTAATAAAAATATATCGAAAGATTTCTGCCTCATTTTTATGAAAACTTTAAGATATTGTTCCAATTTTCCCACTAGCACAAGCCCTATAGTTAGTTACCCTTCCAGTTACAAGAGAGAACTTTTGATTTAAACTAATCATAAGCTAAACACTTGGCGCCTAAATATTAACCTTGATCAAAAAATTTCCTCTTTTCATTGATAGGGGGAATTAACAAAAAATGCATATGCATATGGAAAAACTAAAAACAAAATAATAAATTACTTATAAAATGAAGGTAAAATATCTCAGTAGTGTTGATTCTAAAAACCAAATCTACTTTCTGAAAATTTAAGCCAAAATAACAAAACTCTCTCAAAAGAGACGTGAACGAAATTTTGAAGCCCGCACTTCTTAACATCCAAATGTATAAACTTTATATATGTGTCTATTTAATTATATTATAAAGGTAAAGAATCATTAAAATGCTTCAATAGTCATACTCAAATGCCCACACGTCTCTGACTTAGCTTGGAAACCAAATGTAGAACTCCTTTTTTATTATTTGCCCACGGACATTTAGCTGCACCTGCACTGTGCTGTAGCATTATGCTTTCTGCATTCCCTCCTGCTCGTTAACAATATAGAATCCTCCTATTTTAAAGGAAACAATTTATAAATTAAAAGGATTTCTACTATTAAAAGTAGAATCCTCCTATTTTAAAGGAACCCAATTATAAAATTCGAAGAATTTCTATTATTAAAACAAATTAAAGAATTCACATTATCAAGTCCAATTAATGTGAAAGCCATGAACTCTGAACATGGCTGTAACTGCTAGGTTATTAGAAACTCTTACGAAAAATGACTGCATCGCCAATATGTTAACTAGTTAATGTCTACTTAACGAAAATATATTTAAAAGTATATCATAATAAGAGCAAATTGTTTCAATGAAGCATAAAGGCCCACAGTTCACCCATTTATTTAAACAAAAATTGTGTGGTTTGACAGGGGATGAGGCCAATTATTTGGAGGCACAATATCAATTCTATAACAATTATATAAAATAAGCGTCTGACAAAATTGTAGCTGTCATGAAACACAACGCTTGAACGTCATAATTTAAATTCTTCATATACCTTAGCACCATTTGCAAATATTACTTCGTAATACATGCTAATGATCATCAGCATGCTTCTGATTTTAGATGCTTCATGTTATCATAAATGAACTTGTTGCTTGATTTGTGAAATTCAATAAAAAAACTTTATCTAAATCCAGTATATTTCAAAATAGCTCATAACTTCACTTCCAAATGATAAAGTTATAATGAAAGGCTTTCCTGTTAATCTAAAGAGACATAAAAATAAATAAAAGCTGAATGTTTCGCAAGTAGTAATATTAGAGAATTCTCTCCAGCTTTGCTATAATATAACAATAATGAAAAAAAAAAAAAAATCAATTTTCACAATCCTATTGTCTGTTCCCGGCTTGAAAAATTTTAAGTTTTGGACCGGGTCGTAACAAAAGTGATGCCAAAGTCAGAGTATAAAATTAAGTAATTGAACCTTGATGAAAAAGTCAATATGATAATTAAAAGAAAACTTAAAATTTAGGTTAACTCTCAAGTAAAATCCAGGCAAATGAATGCACCGAAGAGGAAAATGTGTAGAAAATAAGCGGTGAACACGAATAGCCTAACCCAGATGATGTCGACAAAGACAACTAATTCAGAAGTCTATATTGCAGTTAAATGAAAGAGATGCTATTGCTATGAATACGTATTTAAAGATATTTCAAGAGCTGCATCGATGTTTCTTTTTAAGGAACTGAAAAACCAATTGAAACAAAGAACTGGTTGATGGAGAAGCAGAAAGGTGGTGGCGTGGGCAACGTCAAGAAAGACTAGGGGATATAACTAACATGCTGGTCAAATGGGAAGATATAATGGAGTTTTTTAGAGAGCGGTTTGTATCCCTATCCGCTTGAAAACAAATGCAGAACAAATTAATTAAGTTGGTGCAAGAAGTCAATCAAGCAGTGTGAAGTAGAGTTTACTGCATTATCGAGGTATGCATCGTATTTGATAACTACTGCAAAAATGTTACAGATTTCTTTCTACTTTAAAGAATTGATCAGTCAGTCGTTGGTGTCATTGGGGATTGATAAATATTCAATATTACTGGAGTGAAGAAGAAGAGTAAAATTTGAGTATTGCTTACTTGGAAACGGAACGAGATACACAGGAAAAAAAATATATAGATGAAGGAGAGCAAGAGGTTCAATCAGAGGGCTCAAGTGGGGCGAAGCCTATTTACAGCTTAGGTGGATTCAGTAGTGGCTCCCAATACAGTAGCCTCATGTGTCAAATGTGGTACACAGGAAGAAGGTAAATGCTTGATGGGTTCCAACACATGCTACCAGTGTCATCAGCCTAGACATATAGTGAGATATTGCCCATCACTTGGCCAGAAAACCACTGAAGATAAAAAAATGAAGTGAAGTTCCCTCACTGAAGGCTGTATGTGGGTAGAGAAGAATAGAGTCAACAACTTCAGCTCCCACCTAAGGTAAACTACGACAGCCAGTTCATCCGCAAGTCTATAACCTTATTCATAACGAGCATAAAAAACATATTGTTGCAGATGTTGAAGCTAATAGGGTCTAATGAGTATTATAATTCATTTTATGTTATAGAGGCGTCTTTATAGTGTATTTTTGCTTTAGTGATTATGTCTTAACTATGTTATGTTGTTTTAGATGTGATGTCTTATATTATTTAAGAAGATGGGGGAAGTTTAGTTATCTTATATCAAACCTTTGATTTATTTTATCAAAATTTCATTTTAAGTATTCAGATATCTTCTTCATAGAAATTTACAAATAATTCACTGTTTTCTATAATGATAAGTGGCTTATGGGATCTTTTAAATTTTACGACCGAAATTTTGTGAGTGTGAAAGATTGTAACGCCTCATTTCATCTCCCCAAATAAAAAAAAATGCGAGGGAGATGAAGCGAGCGTTTTAGCCATATAAAGAGGCATATAAGTAGAAACAAAACCACCTTTCAAAGTAGAACGACTTCGAAATTCTGAGAAGCAAGTAAAGACGAGATTGAGAAGCAGGGAAAGTGGACAAGGATTTCAAGCCTTTTGATCGAGGGATTGGAGGTGTGCTGGGACAACGACCACAACGTTGCTACTGGATGACATCGTCAACAGGGTATTGATTTGGTGGAAGCTTGGTTTCAAGCAAGAGAAGGCATCATCGAGGGTAAGAAGAGGATAGAAAGTTGAGCGCGTTACCTTCATTTCGA